CTGTTGGCATTCAAATCCACTGCTAGCAGACCAACTATCCCACATCCCTAAAGCAGCTTGCCCATATGCAGCAGGGAAATTCACAGACCTTCTTAAGCGGGTGAATGGAGGTTCCACCAACTTAGAAGCCCGAGGCCCCATCCAAGCATGGGGCAACCTTCTTTGTTCGGCAAATGTCTGTCTTGCAGTTCCTGAAAGACGAGGCCAAACGGGCTAACCACGTTCCAGTTATCAAGGAGGTGCCAACTACCCAAGAACGGATAACTGTTCCCTCTGCCCCATCATCGCGGGAATCAAAGAGGCAGACCCAAGAAAAGTCCTATGAGAAGAGGGAAAATTTGCACGGGTTTAGCAAAAATTGGAGGAAGGTAACACAGTAGGAGCAATAAGAAAAATTACAGAGTAAGCACGAGCCACCCAAAGGAGGGTAACCAGGCCAAGCATAAGAGACAAGAAACCCAACCAGGGACACAACAACATCAACGACAACCTGAGGAAAACCCTTTCCCTGAACAATTAATTTTGCCAAATCGGAAGCTATAGGGCAAATCGTGTCATTTCCAAGGATCTGCAGAGGTTTACCACTGGAATTCGACTCAGCACCTCAAAGAGATGGTAAACCCATACTCGGTGAATCGCATAATTCTTCTCACCGAGTTAACACTTTCGTCAACAATTGCCTGGTGGGCGAATCCCAAAGAAGAAATTAAACCTTTCTTTTTGGACCCCTCACTATGTGCTTTGAAGAAGAGGATGGGGGAATCAGACCCATTGCAGTTGGAACACTCTTCGCCGTCCGTTGCCAAAGCAGCAGTGAGAAACATTCCCCTAGAACTGCCACTTACTCCAGCCACACCAACTGGGCTTTGGGGTCTCTCAAGGCATGAAGCTGCAGCTCATGCGCAATGGCCTACATCGGACCTACCAGAGACAAGGCCATAGTCAAACTTGATTTTAGAAATGCTTTTTGGTGAAGAGAGTGCGTTTTGCCACTGTTCGGTTCGTCCCCAGTCCCTTTCCCTTCATTCAGCCGGCTACAGCAAACCCTCATTCTTTGTTTGGAAACAGAAATTCAATCATCAGAGGGGTAGAGGGGGACCACTTGCTCCACTCTCTTCTGTTTGGGCAGTAAGAGACTAACTCCAGCCTACCCGTGGGTCAAATGGTACCTGGAGACGGCACTCTGGCAGGTACTAAGATCCCTCGTGGGGGCCCTACAACTAGTGAAAACACAGGGAGAAGGTTTAGGACTCATCCTCAATCCTCTAAGTGTGAAATCATCACAGAAAACCCAGGAAATAATCAATGCTGTGCAAAGAATCCTCCCGGAAATCTCAACTACAACCCCCGCCCAACAGTACCTCTTGGGGCACCGCTGGGTCACCAGGCCATCGATACTGTCCTCAGGGACAAAATTGAATGCCCTTATGAGAATGGAGGAGAGAATAAGCGATCTTGATGCCCATGATGCTCTGTATCTGCTCACAAGGTGTCTTACTATGCCAAGACTCACTTACTTCTTGAGGTGTGCACCCTCTTTTGACAACCCAAACTCAATGAATAGACGCAACCTGAGATCAACTTTTAAGAAGGCACTGAACCTGTCACTAGAGGATGAGCAATGGGATCAGGCAACCCCCCCAGTGCGTCTGGGAGGTATAGGGGTGCGTAAAGCAACGCAGTTGCTTTACCTGCTTTTCTGTCTTCGTGTTTGGCTTCCAGTGCATTAGTCAAGAAGATAGTGCCCGAACCCCTTGGAGACTTGGTAGGAGCTAAAGACCCCAGGTTTACTGAAGCAGCAATTCGGTGGGACACCCTTACAGACTCCTCCAGTAGCCCCAGCTCCTCCCAAACAGCACAAACAGTCCCACTGGGACAAACCGATCATGGAAAAAATCGCCAACACAATGCTCTCCAATGCTTCAGGAAAGAACAAAGCTCGTCTCCTGGCAGTGAAGGCACCACACTCAGGAGATTTCCTGTTAGCTGTTCCCAATTCCTCCCTGGGCACCCTCTCGACCCACAGGCCATTCGGATTGGTGTTGCTCTTCGCCTAGCCGCCCCCATCCTCACCGAACATAGGTGTTTTGCGGCAGGGCGACAGCTGATCAATTCGGACTCCATGGTCCGTGTGTCCCCACAGCAGAAGGGGAAATATGCCAGACATGAGGAGATCAATGACATAATAAAGAGAAGCCTCGCCCCAGCCCCTTGCCAGCTCAACGGGAACCCCAAGTACAGAGGTCTGATGGAAGTCAAAAGCGTCCTGATGGAGCCACTAATGCTACCTGGAAGGATGGAAAGCAGATTGCCCGGGACTACACCTGTGCGCCACATTGGCAGACACCTACTTGCCATACTCTGTAGTGGAAGGGGGTGGAGCTGCCAGCCACAGGGAGACCCAGATCCGAAAATATGAAGATCTTCCCCCTTGCTATAACTTCATTCCCAAAAGGGTCGGAGACCCTTGGAGCATGGGGCAAGTGTGCTCTAAAGTTCCTCAAGAGCTGGGTGAAAAACTCATCATAGAAACCAAGGACCACAGGGCGACCAGCTTCCTCTTTCAGAGACTCAGTGTTGCGATCCAGAGAGGAAATGCCTGCAGCATTCTGGGCCCCGCGGCCCACCGCAGGGGAGCTGGACGAAGTATTCGAGATAGCCTGAGTACCTATGTTGTTTTACTTTGTATCATATTTTTGTGAATGTTTCGTCAATGTATTTTGTCTTTAAATAAAATATATATACATAATATGGGGGTGGTAGGAAAATTCTCAAACAGCTTCAGGGAGAATCTTTTAGTTTTCCCTGAAGCAAGTTTATTTTTTCTCTGAGGATGAGGGTCCCCATGAAAAGTTCTAGAGGTGGTACCTCCCTATATTTATATATATATATATATATTTTATATATATATATATATATATATATAAATATATATATATATATATATATATATATATATATATATTATATATATTATATAACTAAAACAAGAATGGTACTATCATTAACTGTGCACACTTATGTGTTTCAGGGACTCAACGAGAATTATGGTAAAGTCTGAACGCTTATCGTTTCTTCAACTTCGTCGTGCTAATTACTGCTGCTGCTGCATCTTCTCTTTTCTTCAACGTCATCTCCATCATCGTCAAACCAATTCCTTAAACTTCATAATTAAGGTGAGAGAAAATTAATATAACCCATCTCTCTCTCTCTCTACAATTTTGTCAAATGACAAATCTGGGCTTAACAGCTATGTCTTAAATTTCATTAAGCTTCTTGATGACTTTAGAGTTAATTTAATTAATCAACATCTACACCACAGTTACATTACACTATGCAAGAAATTATTGCCTTCATGTCTGAGGGCAAGTGTGGGGTGAATATAATGCAGAGGGAAATTTGTAGTTTGGAAGTTAGGAGGAGGTGCGGGATTACCAAAACTGTTGTCCAGAGGGCTGAGGAAGGGTTGTTGAGGTGGTTCGGACATGTAGAGAGAATGGAGCGAAACAGAATGACTTCAAGAGTGTATCAGTCTGTAGTGGAAGGGAAAGGCGGGGTAGGGGGGGCCTAGGAAAAGGTTGGAGGGAGGGGGTAAAGGAGGTTTTGTGTGCGAGGGGCTTGGACTTCCAGCAGGCATGCGTGAGCGTGTTTGATAGGAGTGAATGGAGACAAATGGTTTTTAATACTTGACGTGCTGTTGGAGTGTGAGCAAAGTAACATTTATGAAGGGGTTCAGGGAAACCGGCAGGGCCGGACTTGAGTCCTGAGAGGGAAGTACGTGCCTGCACTCTGAAGGAGGGGTGTTAATGTTGCAGTTTAAAAAAATGTAGTGTAAAGCACCCTTCTGCAAGACAGTGATGGAGTGAATGATGGTGAAAGTTTTTCTTTTTCGGGCCACCCTGCCTTGGTGGGAAGCGGCCGATGTATGAATAATAAAAAATAAAAGAATCTTTGTAATTTCACAAGAAAGTCTTCAGTTATAAAATTAAAAGCAATAATATCCTGCCTAAGACAAATGAATTGTTTTGATATACCTTAATATATGTCTCGCATCTATTGTATTGGTGACCCTCTTCTCAAGTAGCTTGTGAGAGGGTATGGGTTATTTGTATGTACGTTGATTGTAACAGTGTATCAGAGCAGGTCTTTGATGGTGTAGTAACGATGGTAACACTCAGGTGTCCCGTGGCTCAGTTGGCAGCACACTAAGCTTACACACACTGAGTGTCCGTGGTTCGATCCCCGGCATCAGAAGAAACGTTGGACAGGTTTCCTTACACCTTTTGTTCCTGTTCACCTAGCAGTAACTGACTGCTGTTGGTCGCATCCTGGGGGGGGGTTAGTATACCTTGATATGGTTGGACTTAGGAATGAACTGAGGCAGGATAACAGCTCTAATCCGTTAAATCTGACTTAAATTGTGTTAAGAAAAAGACCTGTTCCTCCATGTTTTGGGATGGTTACTGTGTAACACTTACTGCAGGTGCCTTCTCTCTGCTAAAGTTTTTAAACATATATATGCTCATACCCACGTATAGCCACTTACTGACTCTGCTCGCATGTGTTCCCCTGTACCCACTCACCGTACAGTTAGGAAGCATGTCTGTATCTTAACTAACAGAAAAAATCGAGGCTTCACAACTTGCATTAAATGTCCAACATGCTTTAAACGTCTATAATTAATATTAATAATAATAATAATAATAATAATAATAATAATAATAATAATAATAATAATAATAATAATAATAATAATAATAATAATAATAATAATAATAATATATTATCGTCTATATTAGCATATATCAATACAGCTCGTCCCAGAACCAACTGCCTCCACATACTAGAGAAAAGCCCTGCCCAGTCCTCTCGTCGACACCCACCACCGCTAGCGTCACTAAATTTAACCACCCACCGCCACAATACCAGAACGTCATCAGCGCCTAAGAACCTCCCACGTCAACACCCACCACCGCCCCTCTAACACCCCTTCAGCAAACCCTTGCACTTTAACACCTCTACCTATACCCCTTTAGCTTTCACAGCCACAGCCACCACCTATCCTCTAACTCCTGCATGTGTTCCACAGAGGACAGCGGAATGTGTTGATGGGGACCAGCCAACTCCCATTCACACACCCCGCAGGAACGTCATCTCCCCGGCGGGAGTCCAGAAGGCACAGATCAAGAGACTGGACAAAGAAATGGATGCTGTCTACCGCTCGGAGACGGAGAGAAAACTGTCAGGAGAAATGGTTTCTATGAGAGAATACATATCCACTAACAAGGTAAGAACAAGAGAAAAATGTTGGAGAGGTAAGAGAAGTTGAGAGTAGGGAAAGAGATGGATGTGAAGGTTTCTGGAGGAGAGATGGGGAAGGAAAGCTACATGAAACCGAGATGTGGAAGACATCATGACGGACGCTCGTGAGTTGATAAGGGTATATCTTAGACTCTGGAGAGGAGAGAGAGCATGGTAAAGTGCTGCTGAAATAGAGAGGAGAGTTGCAGCAGTGGGAAGGGAATATGTAAACTGTGCTGGGAAGGGAGGGAAGAAAATGTGGATGTGTTTGGGGGGGAAAAG